ATGTTTGAATTGAGTGCTGGCTAGGCTGGGGGAGAGGGGCTCATTTCAACCCTGCTCTTCAGGCCACGTGTGATCATAGGGCAGTGATTTTCAGCCAGAGTCCCATGAGAGGATCTTAGGTGTGTTGTGAAAATTTTTAAAGATCGTTCATTAAATTATTTTTGAAAGAACTTCAAAGTATAATAAGCATTGTTTTTTACTCTTTTTTTTTTAATCAATATGATTTATGTGTGCTGTGGAAGTTTAACTCTAGGTTCAAGTGTGCTGTGAGATTAAAAAAAAAGGTTGAAAACTCTGGCCTAGGGCGAGGCACCAGTAAAATGAGCAAGGTACCCTGTCCTCCATGAGCTTACGGTCTGTGTGGAAGGCTATTTTAAAACATTTTTTGAATAAGTAATCAATTCACATGGTTTCAATGTCAAAGGGTCAAAAGAGAAAAGGTGAAAGATACCTCCCATCCACCTAGTTCAAGAAAGATGCAAGCACCCCAAGATGCAACCACTGTGGGCAGTTTCCTGTGTCTCTCCGTAAAGCCCTTCTGCCCTTGTCTTGCAGTGGTTCTCACCAGGCCAGGGAGAGAGGAAGCCAGGCAGGACAGCTGGGGGAAGGGCTGTCTGAAGCCATAGGCTGCTGCCATCAGGAGCTGGAGATGGGCTCAGGAAGCACAGGTGGTGTGGACATGCCAGAGAGATGTCCAGAGGATTTGGAGATAACCTCCTTTCTAGCCTCCAGCTACTGGACCAGTAGAAATGGACATGGCAATACGGAGTTAATGGAGATGAAGGTCAAATTCCTAGTATAGCCAAGGGTGCCCCCACCCAGGGAGACAGCAGCTGTGGGCTTTTGTGAAAGACCAACATGGGTTTCTTAGATGTGTGATTTTGGTAACTGCTGTCAGCCTTTTTGAATCTCTTTTTCCTCATTCTGAAGCCCCTAATCCAGGGCTTTAAATGTTTTTGATTCTTGAACCCCATTAGCCATCTAAAGAACCCATGGACCTCCGTAAATGTACACAGTGAAATACGTAAGATTATGAAGTAAACAAATTACAGTGAAATATAGCTGGTTTCTCCACTTAATGGGCCCAGAGTTTCATGGTGATTCTAACTCTGAGGAGGGCCAGAGCCAGGGTCCGGCTCCCTTGAGCTGCACTTGGGACACTGTTTCCAAAGAGCCACCTCCCCTGGCCTGGTGGAAGTGACTGGCCGAGGTAGGAAGAATTCCCTCTGGAGATGGCTTTGCAAAGAGTCAAATTCACAATCTCTTTTCCCTGATGAGTGTGGTTCTGCCCTTCCCCATGGGGTCTCTCCTAATTGAAGATGACTAGACATGTCCAGCATTTGGTTTCCAAAAGGTGGCAGCACTGCCCTGGAAAACGGAATCTCAGCTCTGGTTGGAAGTGTCTTGTCCTCTTTACAGCCAGTGAGATTGCTGCCGGGTGGCTGCTGTCTGTCGGTCCCCACAGCCCTGGATTTCCTAACTGACCTGCATGACTCCTGGCTGTGTGACTCTCTCCTCCCCGGTCACCTGAATCTTAGCCTCAAACACAGGCTCTGTCCCTGGTGAGTTCTGTTCCCATCCCCAAGGTGGGGCTGCCCTGCAGAAGCCCCCTGTGAACTCTGATGCTTCACAGAAGCTGGGCTGGCCCAGCAAACACCCCAGGTCAGTCCCGTCCGCAGACGCACAGATTGTTCCCTGCTCTTTTGGTGTTTTTTTAAGGTGAGGTGAGTTCTGGAGGGTGGTGGGCATTCTTAAGCAACAGAATCTCGGATGGTCTAGGCTAAGCTTTTGATTTTCAGATAATTTCACATTGACTGAGAGCAGTGTCACGTGTTTTGCTGGAGTTTGTTGAAGGCATGTGAGTGTGCAGTGATTCCAATCTGACGGAGTTACACGAGACTCGTAAAGGTGGCCTTCAGGGTCCCTCCCCCGTCAGCTATAGGGTTGTCACCAGGCAGCGCTGCCTGCTGTGTACCCCAGTGGAGATGGGCCAACACCTTAACTGTAATTGGGTGTATAGATTTTCAAGAATCTGATACCAGACAGAATTTTGTTCAACAGAAAGATGAGAACGTTAGAAAGGGAACCCTGAATGTACATTCTGAGTGGTGGATGTAGTGGCTTTTATTTGTTTGTTTATTTATTGAGACAGAGTCTCACTCTGTTGTCCTGGGGTTCAGTGCTGAGGCATCACAGATCACAGCAACCTCAAACTCTTAGACTCAAGCAATCCTCTTGCCTCGGCTTCCCTAGTAGCTGAGACTTCAGGTACCTACCACAGCCCCTGGCTAGTTTTTCTATTTTTAGTAGAGATAGGGTCTCACTCTTATATTCCTGAGCTCAAGCAATCCACCTGCTTTGTCCTCCCAAAGTGCTAGGATTTCAGGCATGAGCCACTGCGCCCACTGGCTTTTACCTTTAAATTTTCTCCTCGTAGGACCAGACACAATCTCTTTGAAAGATTCATGTCTGTGTATCATTCTTTAAACCAAACTGCTAGTCCACCATCTTTCTTTTTCTTTTCTTTCACACGTGAATATTCACATGTGTGTTTACATGTTCATTACAGCATATACAAAGAGGAAAAACCCCTCAAGTTTTATTTATCCATTTATTCCAATAATACGCACAGTTCCTTTTCTGCGCACTAGGTGCTGACCTTGGCCCTGGGATATGCAGTAAATGAGATGGCACAGTCCCTGCCTCTATGAAATTTGTATTGTAGATGGAGGAGGCAGGCAGTGAAAGAAAAATGTATGGAGATATACTCTCCTAAGAAGTGGCCTTGGAATATGACTGTGTGATGGGCGAGTGGGGAAAACACCTTCCTAGGAGGTGACTGAGGCATCAGTGAGATGTGGTCGTGGTCGTGGTGTTGAGGCGCTGGGATGGGCATGTACTTGGTGTGTTTAAGGCACAGAGAAAAGGCTGGAAGGTGAGGTCACCAGGGAATGGGGGCCAGATCGCGTAGGCCGTTTTGGGTCAGTAAATGACATGGGTGTAGCCCTTGAAGGCTTTTAAGAAAGGACTGATGTGAAAGAGGACCTCCGACCTAATTAAACAGCTCATAATTCCCATGAAGTGCACATTTTGGGGCTTTTTTGGTGGGTTTTTTAGGGGAGCACGTGAGAGTGGCTGGTGCCAGCTAGGGTTGCCGTGGCATTTAACTCTGTGCTGGGCACACGACAGCTGCTCACTGCCCTCTCATCGAAACCCCAACACAGCCCCATGAAAAGGGCATTGTCACCTTGAGTTCTACTGATGAGAAAACCCAGGTGCAGAGGGAAAGTCCTTCACTTGAGGTCACCCAGGAGGCAGGGCAGAGCTGGGATTTGAACCCCAGCTGAGCAGGCTCCAAGTTCTGTTTTATATTCCTTCTTGAAATGAGAGTCCAAGTTCTTATCAATATGTTTTATTACATGTGAAACATTTTTATAATTTGCATTTCCTTGACAAGTTCTAAAACTGAATCATTTTTCATATTTTCCTTTTTTTACTATAGTAAAATATATATAGCATTCGCTATCTTAACAGTTTTTAAGTATATCATTCAGTGACACTAAGTACATTCGCACTGTGGTGCAGCTGTCACTACTCTCCATTCTTAGAATTTCTTCATGACCCCAAATGAGAACTCGGAGGCCATCTAGCGCTTGCTCCTCCCCTCGGCTCCCTCCCATCCCTGGTAACCTGCAGTCTACTTGCTGCCACTGAAATCTGCCTGTTCCACATACTTACATAAGTGGAGTCATACACAGTAAGCTGACTACCCAAGGGACTGGGACAAACAGGTCAACATATAGAGGTGTCAACATAAGGAACATTCATTGAGTACATGTGGTGGTTGTGGGTCCTGTCTGTGAAAAGGAGGTCAACTTGGGGCGGTCAGTATAGGGAGGTGGTCAGCTATGGAGGTTCTCCTATATTTGGCCTGGCTTATATCGTGTAATGTTGTGAAGGCTCATCCATGTCATAGCGTGCATCATAATCCTTCCTTCCCAGGGAATGTAATATCTCATCATATGAAAATACATGTACCATATTTGGTTTCTCCACTCATCCGCTGATGGGCATGTGAGTTGTTTCCACCCTGGGTAGGTTATCCCACTGAAATGACAGGAGCTTTGTCAGCTCCTTACTCCAGTGCCAGAGCTATTTCTGACGTACAGAGAATCTGAGTCTGCTGCCTAAGAGGGAGGACCAGCACTGTGTATGGTCGTGGGGGGCGAGCTGAGCTTTTCAAGGTAACTGTCCTTAGGTTGCTTTAGAAGACCAGGAGGGGCACTAATTCTTCTTGTGCTGATGCCAACTCTAATTTGGCCCTTTTCTTGTTCTTTTCATGGAATCCTAGTATTGAATGAGATCTCCAGAGAGGACATTTCATTCACTGTTTGCTTCTTTATTTCCTGTAGATAGAAATTTAGTCTGTTGTTGAAATTCACCCTGCTCAGGCCGTGCCTCCCTGGTCTCAGTTTCTCTGTATATAAAGGGATGTAAATTCCCTTCTCAGAGATTGAAGGTTAAGAAGTTGCATTTTAGTTCATATTTAATTTCCTCCCTGCTACTTGCACTTTAAGCCTTCCCTCTCCCCTCTGCGTGAAGTATGTGGCCACTGCCCCCCCATAGTGACCTTATATTCCCTGCCCATAGCTGTGGTGTCTGAAATGAATTGCCAGGGTCTAAGGGAGATGGCGTGCAGTCCCCATCTGCACTGGTTGGTTTTCTTTTCTTCTTCCTTGACAACCCACGCTGCTGTTTCACTGAGAGCCCCCTTCCCTCTGCCTGTCCCCCGGAGGCTGGCCGCTCTGATGGAGAGGGCCTTGAGAGAGTGTGGTTTACTCCTTTCCAGGTGACCCACCCCTTCTTTCATCGCCAGGAAGTTAGCTAAACTGTTGTCGCCTGTTTGCTCCCCAGCCTCTGCCTGCGCTAGAGAAGAAAATTTGCTCCGCATCACTGTCCCCTGAGGCATAGCGCCACTCATGGATGTTTTTCCCTTTCAGAACAATCAATCTGAAAAGCCCCATTCTGCAGCAGGTGCTGGAGAGGAGGGGTGAGGTCCTGTGCGTCCTGACACAGAAGATCGTGACGACGCAGAAGTGTGTCATCTCTGAGCACGTGCAGATCGAGGAGAAGTGTGGCGGCATGGTGGGGATCCGCACTAAGACTGTGAAGGTGCAGGTCCAGGGGCGCTGGGCCCATGGCAGCCCCTCTGGTCCAACCATGGTGACCTGATCACCCCACACAGAGGGGGTGTCTCCATTCGTCAGGAGTCTTTCTGTAGTGGGTTAACAGAAATCCAACTCAGACTGGCTGCAGTGAGCAGGAATTTTTTGGCTTGTGTAGCTGAAACGTGGGGGAATTGAGCTTCAGTCACTGGATCTGGAACTTGAGGATGCTGTGAGCTGCCATCCCTGGTTGGCTCTCTCCCAGATGGGTGCTTTCCTTGTGGTGCCCACATCTCTGGGCTTTCACCCGATTTGTTGCAACCCCAGGGGCCAGAGTGCCTCAGGCCTGGGTCTCACCACACCACTCTGTGTCGCTCCATTCCTAAAGCAGAGCAGGGTGGTAGGGTACTCCATGGCCAGGCAGGCCTATGCTGGGTCCCTGCCTTTGTTATGGAGATGCTGCCCAAAGAAAAGTGGATAAATGTGCACCAGCCAGCTAAATACAAGAGAGAGTGCAAAGCCCCTCAGAGCCAGGGCTCTCAAAATGATTCCCCTGGGGTTGGCTGCCTCAAGCCCTCTGTGGTTGTGTTAGGGCAAAGATCTAGCTCTGTGAACAGAAGTTGATTCTTTTTTTTTTTTTTTTTTTGAGACAGAGCCTCAAGCTGTCCCCCTGGGTAGAGTGCCGTGGCATCACAGCTCATAGTAACCTCCAACTGCTGGGCTTAAGTGAGTCTCCTGCCTCTGCCTCCCAAGTAGCTGGGACCACAGGCACCCGCCACAATGCCTGGCTATTTTTTGGTTGCACCTGTCATTGTTGTTTGGCGGCCCGGGCTGGATTCGAACCTGCCAGCTCAGGTATATGTGGCTGGCGCCTTAGCCGCTTGAGTCACAGGCACCTAGTCCAGGAGTAGATTCTTTAGGTTATGTTTCAGATAGTCTTACCAAGCTGACCCCGAGCCAGAACTAAACTTTAGCAGAATAAGCTGTTGTCATCCCAAAATGTTTTCCCTCCAACTTGCCGTGATGGCTGATGTTTTCTTGGAGATTTACTTTTGGGGGGTAACTCCTAGATTTTTCTGGAGGACCCAGGTAGAGTTATATTTGGAAGGAGGTCTAAGGTCTGGAGCTGGCACCCTCACTGAAGTGGGCAGGGTGGGTGGCAGTGGTGAGGGAAGTGCCCCATGGGAGGTGGCTTACTTATGCTGGCCCTGCCAACACTTCTGCCAGGTCACCACCCACTGAAGCCCTGGGGTCTCTGGGAGTTAGGAGGCTGACTGCCATTTCCTGACACAAAGTAACACACTCAGACCAGGATCAAGTTCCTAAAAAATGTCTCTAATCTCTAGCAGTTTGGCCAAGGGAAAGGGTCTCATCTTCTCTCCAGGGCATTATGGGTAGGGGTCATATCTGTAAGCACATTTGAAGGAGAGAGCGCTGGGTCTGGTCCCTGGAGTGCCTGCTTCTCCACCACCAGCCTCTCCTCCCCTCCCTCTTTCTTCCTGGTCTTACGTGTCAGCATAGCACTGTGCAGGAGTCTGGAGTGACGTGTGTGTGTGGGGGTGGGTATCAGCCAGGGTCTCTCCATCATGATTTGTTACGTTAGGATTTTTAGTAGGGTTTCAAAGTTGTTTCCATATGAAGGGAAGTAGGGAGTGATCTCACTGACCACGTTGCACTGCAGACTGTACATCACCCCGCCCCATGCTCTGGAGTCTTGTTCTGGTATCCCCAAGTTAGCCATTCACCTGGGAGTGTGTGTGCTGCATGTTCGCAGGAGGCTTGGCTCTGTCCCTGTCCTTTACAACTTGGGTCCAGGGGCACTTTCTCAGCCTCTCTTGCCTCTAAGGCACAAGGCTGGACTTCTGGGAGGGAAAGAGAAGCCAGAGAGACCCTGAGTGCATCAAGGCGGTGTGTGCTTTCCCCTGCAGGTGTCAGCCACAGAGGATGGCAACGTCGTCAAGGACACCAACGTGGTGTTGGAGATCCCGGCTGCCACCACCATTGCCTATGGCGTCATCGAGTTATATGTGAAACTGAATGGCCAGTTCGGTGAGTGCCATCTTCTGAGAGTGCCGAGGGATCCCCCATATTCCCCGGAAGTGCAGTTTTATAGAGGATCCCCGATGGCTTTGGGGTCTGTGACAAAGGCCAGAATTGCCAGGACAGTGGGCTGCCCTGGGGAGGCTTTGGTGAGGGATGCCTGGGGGCAGCATCAGCCTCTCCCCCAGACTCAGTGTGGGGTGCAGCAGAGGGATGAGGACACACCTTTGTAGGCAGACAGCTGGGCAGCAGCCCCACAGCCTGTGATACTCAAGCAAGTCGGCGAGTCTTGCTGATCTCAGCTTCCCTGTGTCGGGAGCAAGGGAAGGGCTGTGGTGAGGATTAAATGGGATGAGGCCTGTGGAGTGCCCAGCATGGCACAGCAGTCCTTTACGAGCTATTCCTCCTGAGCAGTTAATAATATTATCATCATTATCATCATCCCACCTTCCCTCCCCTGACGCGAAGCCAAAAATGCTGAACTCGACCTTTCTCTGTTTAGCAAAGGGTGTAAAAGGGCAGAGATCCAGGTGGTTCATTGTCATGGTCTGAAGAGATAAGGGCTCTACTTGGGCTAGTGTCTGCTCACCTTCGATGCTTACAGCCCCTTCCCTCATGTTCCCAGAGAGAAGAAGGGGTGTTGAGTCCAGAAAGCTGGGTGACTGCTTCTTGGGGACATGCATGGGAAATGTAACAGAATAAGTTATTGCTAACCTAATAGTGGTGTTACGGTCACAAAAAGGAGTCATCTTGTAGAGATCCATATGGAAACATCGACTTGAAATGGGAAGATGCCTGTGGTTTGTTTCAGGAAGAACATGAGTGGTTGAGGACAATTGCTGTAGGCTCAGGGTGGGGGCAGAGGTGGAGAGCAGTGGCCCAGAATGACAGCGGCTGAAGGCAGGCAGTGGGATGTGAAGGTTCATTATATTACTTTCTCTGTTCTTGTGCAGTTTGACATTGCCTATGACAAAGTTCTCTAAAGTGTGCCATGCCAGACCACACGCCTGTCTTCTGCTGTCTCTTGCTCTTCCCCCACTTGGTAAAGAGGAGGAGGTCTTCCCCAGACAGCTCCCCCCACTTGGTCAAGAGGAGGAGGTCTTCCCCAGACAGCTCCCCC